TTCACCAGTTTTCTAATTCTATACTTTCAACGGCATTATCAACCTGCAGTGCAACATTACGGAACTTTTTACTTCTACTTATTTATATAGTGGAAATGGGACTATTTAATGAAAGATAAGTACATTCTCATTTTCTGAAATCTTTCAGACCCAAGCATTCATAAAAAAGCATTGGTAGCATCCTTAACAACTGTGAAACTGAGAGAAAAAGCAGTTGCAATTCCAAGCAGTTTTAGTTAAGGATTCAGGGCAAAACACAATGTTATAAAAGCTGTTGGCTTTAGAAAAATAAAAAAAAGTTAAAAAAATCTGAGTTATGAAGAATGAATACTTATACATTTTTTAAAATTTTTTTTTTAATGTTTTTATTTATTTCTGAGAGAGATAGAGAAACACAGCATGAGCAGGGGAGGGTCAGAGAGAGAGGGAGATACAGAATCCGAAGCAGGCTCCAGGCTCTGAGCTAGCTGTCAGCACAGAGCCTGACGCGGGGCTCGAACCCACGAACTGTGAGATCATGACCTGAGCCAAAGTCAGACGCTTAACCGACTGAGCCACCCAGGTGCCCCAATGAATACTTATATTCTTTACATTCCTATCTGGGAAAACAGAAATTCCAAAGAAGAGTTAACCAGAAATGCAGGTATATACTGAAAGAAACTTCTACTATTCTGCTAGCTGTTTAGTCAAGTCCAACAGCCACCACACAAATAATCTTTAGGTTTACTGTAGAAATTGGCTATAACTCTGCATTTTCAAGAAGCTGCACAGCCTACTTGCCAGAAATACCTTACGCATGAGCTAGGAAAAAGTAGAAGCCTAAAGTAAACTAGAAGTCTCATGTGCTGGAATACTTCAAAATATTATAGCAAAATGAAATTATATAAAAATGTCTTCACATAAAAATATCTCAAAGAGTTCTGAGAATCTATGGGATGATTTCCATTTTTTTCACATAAAGCAAAATATCACACTTTTAGCAGTATTAAATCCTACTATTACAGAATAACAATCAGGATCACTGGCAGAAATATGTATACTTAAAGGGATAGTCCATATCCAGAGCTATGAAGAAATGACTCAAAAATTAAAGAGACCATATTTTTTAATTGTCAAACCTCCTCCCCAATGACAAATACTTATACCTTTCAATAAAAAAGCCAATTCCAATACTAGTTGGAGCTAGTTTTTTTTTTTTTTTTAATCTTTTGCTTTTATTTCCGAAGGAACTAATATATTACAAAATATTCTTAATGCACGGACTTATTTACTTGACGCTAAGATTCTAAGGACATTAACTTTTCTCACTTCTAAATTTTTTTTGACACAAAAAAATGGCATGTATAGAAAAAGAAAATGTCTGGACAGATCAGGGAAAGGCCATTGAGACAGCTGTTTTTAGAAACAGAATTCTATAATAAAGTGATTTTGAGGAAACAGTTTGGATAAAGCTGGAAGAAGAATGAAATCCTCTTCTGTATCTGATAACCATAAAAATGTCATTGTAATACTGTCTGTAAACG